GACAGGTGTCTTTTATACACTGATAACAAGTTCAAACAGGTGCCATTGATACAGGTAATGAGTGCAGGACAGAGGAGCCTCTTAAAGAAGAAGGTACAGGTCTGTGAGAGCCAGAAATCTTGCTTGTTTGTAGGTGACCAAATACTTATTTTCCACCATAATTTGCAAATAAATTCTTTCCAAATCAGCCAATGTGATTGTCTGAATTTGTTTTCTCATTTTGTCTCTCATAGTTGAGGTCTACCTATGATGCCAATTACAGGCCTCTCTCATCTTCTTAAGTGGGATAACTTGCACAATTGGTGGCTGACTAAATACTTTTTTGCCCCACTGCATAATAGGTCACATGGGAAAGAAAGACAACAGAGCATTTGTAAAATGCATTTAGCCAAAACAATCTCCCATAGCCTTCCATAAACATTTTTTGCCCATGATGGACAAACTTACCTGTGAGAAATTGTCTTTTTTAAATGTATTCTTTATTTATAGGAAGTTTTCCATAGAGTACAAACAATACACTCAATACATACAATGTCAAACTATTAGTGCTATAGACACATATCCAACAGGGAAAGCAAGAGCAGCCCTATTATCTGTATAGTTACACACCTTTGCCATATATGAATATGTCAAAAATTAGATACAGTATGGGAATGCCAATAGCTGGTGGTAAATGTAACACACAGAATGTGGGCATTCATCCATCCAGCAAAACCCATATCAACTCTTAGCATAGCAAAGACTAGAAATTCTCTCTAGATAGTACATGTTGAGTGAGTAAACAGGATGCAATCTAAGAGATCACAGATAGATCATGTGAGCAGGGGTGCATGCAAAGGGAAATGAAAGAAAATGCACCGAGGTCAAAGACCAACAATAAACAAGGATTTCCGTCTGAGGATGCGGAGATAAAGCTGGGAATTTACCATAATACCATTGGACATTTCACCTGACAGACAAAAAGCTATGCTCTATACAGGAGTGAGGGGTCTATCCACTTCCCCACGGGGAAACATTGGCAAAGTGAAAGGAGAATCTGGCTGGGCCAATGACAATGAAGTATAGTACAACCAAACTGCACAAGTCTTACCAAAGCCCACCAGTGCATCCCTACAAGTTATCAACCACTCCTTTGCATCCATGATCTCATTTACCCTTTTGATCTAGTCATCTCTACTAGGGACCCAAGCCTATTCACAGTAAACTGGCACCAATCTCCAAGCTGCATTGAGTAGGTGGGGCAATACACATCATTTGTAGTGGCTAATGGCATGGTAGGAACATGTAGGAGGAAATGGTGTGATGGGGGAGGTATATCAACATCTAGTATGACTTTATTGCTCAAAAAACATGAATCCTGGGGCATTCCCATGAAATATGGAGGACTGTGCCCCGCTGACCACAGTTTCTCCAACAAAGGGACAAGGCTGGGGAATTTTTCAGTGCAAATTTAGTGGGAACATGATACCACCTAATCCATATATTGTAATTATTTTCTTTTGTTTTAGATTCAATTGAAAGATTGTCTTTTTGTATTGATACATACTTCGAAGGTTACTAAAAGATATGAACAAAGTTTTAGGCTGTATTTTTGCGGTGGTAGATCTTAGTTTGTTAGGAGCTAATTTTCTTTTTATAGTAAGTGCTTTTTGATATATGAATATGGACTTGGAAGGTAGATAGAGCGCAGTTTAGGATCCTGTAACAATATAGACCTTTTTTATAATATTCTCCATTTTCTTATATTTCTGATCAAATTCAATTTTATATCAGGACAGCAGGAGCATCCATGTTATTCGCCCTACATCATGGTTGGGATGTTAAGCAGTCTTGATATGCTATGTTTAACATCTTGTGACTATAGCCATTATCTAGGAATTTTGCTTTAGATGGTTGTAAACCTCTGAAACAAACAATTAACAGTGTGTATACCTCTGAAGTGTGTGCTAGCCTCCATCCAAAGAACCAAGTGTGATTTCTTTTTCCTCTCTCTTTCCTCTACTATCTGATTTACTCATTTCTGGAAAGGTATCCTAACACCACAGAAGAGATGGTCCTGCCCCAGCAGGTGATTGGCAGTGTCCATTCCCTCTACTTAGGTCTCAGATTACACTCAGCTCTGCTCTTTTTGCTGTGGAGTGTGTGATGTCAGATCCCCACCCCTGCTTGCTCAAGCTGAGAAATAGCCTAAGATCGGTGTGTTTTAGAAAGCTGTAAAAAAGAGAGGGCTGCAGATAAAACAGACACAACGTATGTAGGATGATTTACTTCATGTCTGTGTTTTACCTGATTCATGTTACTTCAGTGTGTATATGTTTACAACCAATTTAGGGATATAACTTTGATATACATAATCATCATATAATAATTTTTTCTCATTCAACAAAATTGACTATTTGTAGGTTTAAAATGGATTTTGGATAAGATTTGTTCATTCTAAGCTCAAGATCCAGAAACAGCAAAGAAATGGGATCACTTTTGTAAGTAAAGGAGAGGCCTAGGTCATTATTATTACAGTGATCCATGAACGATAGTACTGAACACAGAAAACCATTCCAGATGATAGTATCATCAATATATCATCTGTAAAATACTATATTGTAGGCAAATAGATTTTGATTTCAAATGTGAACATTCTCCCAATACTTCATAGTCGGGATAGCATAGCTGTGCATAAAATTTGCCCCCATATCTATACCCTTGATTTGGAGATAATATTCATTATCAAATGTAAATTAGTTGTGTTCCAGACAAAATTTAGTCCCTTCTAGAATGAACTAGGCTTGTTTGTAGTGTAATTGGGATGTGATGTAAGAAAATAATTCAAGGCATGAAGGCCAACGTTATGGAGAAAGGAAGTATGAAGGGAGCTTACATCCAATGACAACCAGCTATGCAAAGAATTCCACATGTAATCACAAAGGGTTTTGAGAAGATGTAAAAAATCTATAATGTACAATGGCAGGGATAATATTATGGTCTACAAAAAATAGTCGATGTTTTGAGAAAGACGATTTGGACACTATCCAATGAAACAATGATAGGTCTCCCTGAAGTGTAACTGGGGTCCCTGTGGACATTGGTCAAATAATAAATATAAGGTAAACATTCTTTAAAATACTGCCCAGCTTACCATGCCCTTTGTTTGACAATACCTTACCTATTAACCTAGAAAATAGCCATTACTAATTTCTAAGATTCGTCTCCTATTGACTTCAATAGAGTTCGGATTCAGGATCTGGATTTCGGTAATGTTTGCTGAACAGGGGCGGACTGACAACTCATGGGGCCCCCGGGCAATAAGGGATCATGGGGCCCCTGTGTCCTTGCCCAAACTCAAAAAAGCCTATAAAAAAGGTACCAGGGGCATATCATGGGGCCCCCTACTGACCCTGGGCCCTCGGGCAGTGCCGAGTTTCCAAATGGTCAGTCCGCCCCTGTTACTGAACCTACATCAAACCAAACTTATGTACATATAGCTTATCCCTATTGCTTATCTGTCTTCTTTCCTCAAATCTTTTTGAGTTACTGCATATGTATGCAAGTAATGCAAGTAGTGAAGTCAAATAGGACAGTCAGGACCTATTGATATGCATATTTACAGTAGGACAGTGACTAATAAAAGTATTGAAACTTATAGGAGAAAAGGGAGACAATGGCTCCTGCTGCTGCCTCAGCCAATAAGGAGTGAGAGACCAAAAAAAACAGAGGCTCTTGTGGACATTGCTGGATCGGGATGGGGCTCAGGTAAGTGTTAGGGTGGGCTGGGGGGAGCTGCTACACACAGAAGGTTTTTTACCTTCATGCATACAATGAATACTGGAGACTTTAGAACCACTTTGAGATTTTGCCAGTGGCTGTAGCTGCTGAAAATAACAAAGTTCAGACTCACCACCCACCACCCATTATTGCAAGGAATCTTTTGTCAATAATACAAAAATAAACGCATAAAATACCGTACTCATCCACCTTACTAACCATTCTGTATCTGCCACCCCTCTCTGCCAATCCCTCCACTGGCTTCCCATTACCCAACGGATAAAATTTAAAACATTAACAATAACATATAAAGCCATTTATAACTCTGCCCCAAATTACATCACTGATCTTGTCTCTAAATATCACCCAAACCGTACTCTCCGCTCCTCGCAAGACCTCCTACCCTCTAGCTCCCTTGTCTCCTCCTCTCATGCTCGTCTCCAGGACTTCTCCAGAGCTTCCCTCATCCTATGGAACTCTCTACCCCAATTTTTCAGACTATCACCTACTCTGCTCACGTTTAGGCGATCTCTGAAAACCTATCTCTTCAGGGAAGCCTATCCTGCCCTCAGCTAATAATGGAATCTTCTACTATTCCAACCAGTCCATCCCCCACAGTTACTACCTTTTGTACCACTAGCCCCTCCCTCCTAGATTGTAAGCTCCAAGGAGCAGGGACCTCCTATCCCTCTTGTATTGAACTGTATTGTCCACCGTTATATTGTAAAGCGTTGAGCAAACTGTTGGCGCTATATAAATCCTGTATAATAATAATAACGTGAAGAATTTAGATAGGAGATACATTGCTGGAAAAGATGATTTACAGGCCATTGCCAAGGACATTATTTCTCAAATCGTAGATGAAAATTTATATTATAGTATACAGTGCCTTGAAAAAGTATTCATACCCCTTGAAATTTTCCACGTTTTGTCATGTTACAACCAAAAATGTAAATGTATTTTATTGGGATTTTATGTGATAGACCAACATTTTTTTCCACTTGCATTCTGAATTTTCAGTATCGATTTCGGTACCAGAATTATCATTTTGGTGCATCACTACTGTGAATCAATCAAAACTAAAGTTTTTTTTTCATTGGCATCACAACTTTTTTGGTTTAGCTATAAGGCAGGCCTCAGTGCTGTTCTATTGCAAATTGTCCACTAGATGTCGCTGATTGCTTATATGAAAACCACATGCTCTGATGACAAGGGTGACATAACAGCTGTAGGGGTGGAGAGGAGAACCAGCAACAAGGAAGAAGGAGCAAGAACACAGCAAACAAGTCCAGGCAAAGGAAGGGGCACTGCATAGGATCATGGGCAGAAAGAGAAAGCTGACAGATTGCCTGCCAGTAGTAAAACATGCTGAAGAGAGCAGAAGGAGAGCCGCAGAAAGAGCCAAGACCCTGGTAAAGGGGGAGGTAGAGCAGACACAGCCTGGGGGAGGCAAAGCCAAGAGGACCAGTCTGCAGAAAGAGAAGCAGGACCCAGGAGGTGAGGACTGATCACTGGGGTCATCTAGAGGGGCTGCATCTATGTCTGGATCTGTGACTTCATCTCACTTTCCTCATTTACCATTCAGTCTCCTGTTTGCTATATGCAGAGAGCTGATCTCTGCTTGTCACCAGTCTATGATTGTTTGGTGTACTTTGCCCATTGTAGGGAAAGTAACAGGTTCACATTATCCTTTCCAAGCCTAGGTTCACACCTAAGCATTTTCCGGTGCATTTTGCAGAAACACACTACAGTCCATTTAACATGATTTCCTATGAGACACGTTCACATCTCTGCGCTTTCACCGGGTGCGTTTTTTGAAAAGGGTCAGGGACTTTTTAAAACGCAAAACGTTGCATTTTGGTTTAATAGACTTCAATGGAGATGCTGCAGAAATGTATGTAGTGCGTTTTTGATGCGTTTTTGACACGTTTTAATCTGCCCAGCAACAAGTTGGGAAATAAAATGCAAAATTAATTAAAAACGTATGCAAAACGCACCTCAAAAAGCACTGCAGAAACGGATCAAATGCAAACTGCATAGGCGTGAACCTAGCCTATGGGCTAGTTCACACCAGGTGCAGTTCAGTGTGTTTTTTTCTGCATCAAAAATGCATGCACAGTGTTTTCCATGTATTCCAATGGCCCTGGTTCACACCATTGCAGCCAGTTCTAGTCAGTTTTCGGTGCAGAAAAAAAAGTAGAACATGCTGCAACATGCAGTTTGCTACGTTCCAATATGGTTCTGTGCAGAAAACATTTCTGCACAGAACCATACTGGAACGTAGCAAACTGCATCAAAACTGCGTGTGGTGTGAACTGTCAGCAAAACCGTATCCAGAATGCATCTGGAGTGCTTTTTTGCAGTGTGAACTGGCCCTAACTGTCTGTCTTATGGAACCGATTACCTCTGTCCTTCCTCAACTGTCCTCCTTTTTTTGGTTTAGAGACATATCTAAATCATTTTGCTATCCAACATTTCATATGGCATTAAATGCACCTTGCAAATGCTTTTATTGCATTATTATTATTATTATTCAGGATTTATATAGCGCCAACAGTTTGCTCAGCACTTTACAATATAACGGGAGACAATACAGCAACAATACAGTTCAATACAAGAGGGTTAGGAGGGCCCTGATCCTTGGAGCTTACAATCTAGGAGGGAGGGGCTGGTGGAACAAAAAGTAATAACTTTGAGGGATGAACTGATGGGAGAAAGAGAAAATTTGGTTATAGCTGAAGGCAGGATAGGCTTCTCTGAAGAGACAAGTATTCAGGGATCACCAAAGGCTCCATGCACACTAGCATTTTTTTAAGCTGAAAAACCGCTGGAAAAAACACTGGATAAAAAATGCTGGTAATAGCATTTTTAATAGCATTTAGGAGTGTTATCGTTTTATTAGCATTTATATAGAACATGTAGAAAAAGCTGTTAGGAGTGCTTTAGTAGCTTTTAGGAGCATTTGTAGTTTTTTTCTGCTGGAAAAACGCTCTAAAAAACAATACAAAAACAACTTTTTTTCTGCTCCTAGACACTGAATCTCAAAAAACGTTACACATAGGATAACACAATTTAGCTTCTAGGAGCAGAAAAAAAAATGCTATATAAAAAAAAAAAACCCTAGTGTGCATGGAGCCTTGGGCCTCATGCACACAGGACGCTAAAAAAAATCTAAAGCGTCAAGTGCTTGGGCATTCATTCATTTTATTGGCCAGAATAATAATTTATTTTGGCCATTCAAATTATTTAACACTCAAGCGCTAAACGTGTTAAAGCAAAGCTCCACCCAAAAAAGAAGTTCCGCTTTAAGATTTTGTATCTTTTTCTCTCAGCCAGAGGTGAAGATTGTAAGAAAACTCCCCCCAAAAAACTTGTGTGTAAATTAATAAAAATTAAAGCAGAGCTCCACCCGAAAGGGGAAGTTCCGCTTTAAAGACTGGTCCCCCGCTCCCCATTAAGGATTGGCACCTTTGGGGAGCGGGTACTCGAATTTGACAAGTACCCGCTCCCACTTCTGCTGCGATCACCTTGGCCAGGGGTAGGCAACCTGCGGCTCTCCAGCTGTTGCAGGACTACAAATTCCATCATGCCTCTGCAAGTCATAGCTGTAACTGTCAGTTTTGTAATATTGCAATGCCTCATGGGAAATGTAGTTCCACAACAGCTAGAGAGCCGCAGGTTGCCTACCCCTGGCCTAGGCAATCAAAAGCGGAAGTTGTCCTCCCCCATCTCCCTCTCCGTAGTCTTGTGGGACATGTGACAGGTCCCAGAAGACTACGGGGCCATTCACAAAGTGCAGTGCTTCTCGCACATGGGCAGTAGGCACCCAGCTGTGAAGCTGCAAGCTGTCACAGCCGGGTGCCCACACTAAAGATGCCAACGCCAGGGAGAGAAGACGACCGACGAAACCAGTGGTGGTGAGGACACCGCTGGACCGAGGAACAGGTAAGTGGCTGTATTTTAAAAGTCAACAGCTACAGTTTATGTAGCTGATGACTTTTTTTTTTAGGTGGAACTCCGCTTTAAGGCACGTTTAAACACATTTAGCCGCGTCAAATGTTTTTTCCTGGCAAAACGCTTCTGTTCCTGGACGCACTGGCCCTGGGGTTTTTTTTCCTGCTGGTAAACATGAGGCCGAAAAATGGAGTAGGAGATAGTCAAACAGATTAGGGTAGAGAGTTCCATAGGATGGGAGAGGCTCTGGAGAAGTCCTGGAGATGAGCATGTGAGGAGGAGACAAAGCATTGATTTTTAAATACTAAAGGGAAAGGAAATCAGTGGGTTAAACAAATTATTTTGCATATGGATTTTTCATGGTGTGTTTACCGTCCTAGGGAATAGTGCTGGGCATGTTTGGACAAAGATTCCAACCTACGTGTGTGAGCCGACTAGGAGGCTGTCACCTGCATAGGCCAATCATCTGCAGCAGGGGCAATCAGCATATATTAATTTATTATAGCGCATCAGTTTACACAGCACATTATATATGTATATTGTACATTCACATTAGTCTCTGCCCTCAAGGAGCTTACAATCTAAGGTACCTAAGGAACATATGCACTAGGGCCAGTTTGGACAGGAGCCAATTTACCTACCAGGCAGGCACAGGAAGAACATGCAGACACCAGGCAGGGAGTGCCGCGGCCACAGATTGGCCTGCACAGGTGACAGTTTCCCGGGGGGATCACACATGGGGGTTCGGATCCTTGTCTGAACATGTCCAAGCTCATCACTGCTGGGGAATGTGGTTAGATGTGTCCTTTGATATATACTTTATGCTACAAGCTACCAGAAAGTTGGACAGTGCAACTTGTGTTTGCCATGCATACTTGCCCTCCTGCAAGAATACATGGTATGGGGAACACATGACATCCCCTCCTGTCTTCCACAGTAGACTTAGTGGTCAGTCACCAGGTCCAAACAGGGCCGTGGATAAGGGGGTACCACCAGTCCTCTGTATGGGGCCCAGGCATCTAGTTGACCAGCATGGCTGGGGGGCAATTACTGGAACCGATCCCTATGTATGGCTCTCTCTGCAGCAGCTGAAAGCTGGCTTCTTCTCTCCATCCCGCTGGCTTTTGGCTGCTGCAGAAAGAACCATACAGAGGATCAGGAGGTAATTGCCCCCCTCACCTCACTGAACACCCTCCATGTGCACCATACACTTCCCTCTACTGCCCAGGCCCCCCCCCCGTGTACCCTCTTTAGTGCTGCTGGCTTCCTTCCTCTCTTTCCCATCGGCAGCTGCAATCCCACAATAGGATTCTTCAGAATGGAGAGTGGGGGGAGGGTCCAGTAAATATGCCACATTTACCAGCCCCGTCCTTTCCTGAATGAACACGAGTGATTGGTACTGATCACTCACTGTGTTCATTCATTACTGAAGCATAGTAAACTGTGTTTATTTGAGGGGGACCTGTCAAGTTGTCTGTATGGGCCCCTTGGTTTCTAACAGAAGCCCTGGATCCAAACACTGTTTCATGAGTGCAGGGGAGTGTACATAGCATACACAGGACTTTCAGGGGTGCCTGGCTGCAAATGTGAGCAGTCTGTCTGTGTTCTGATCCATGCAGTGGTTCCGCATGGATGTACATTTGAAGATGCCCTTGGAGATTTGTGCAGATCCTCGCAGCCACCCACCTGTCATTGATTTGAACAGGCTGCCTGCCCTCGGCTACATGGAACACCTCTGCATCCTGCACTGGCAAAGGCGGCCCTTCGCTCTGATATACGATTGGTACAGCTGTGTGAATGAGACCATGCAGACCCGGAACAATCATACAGCAAAGAAAGTCAGAGAAAATTCAGAGCTCCATATCTGTCTACTTTAACCTAGTGAGTGACTGAGAAGCTACTGAAACCAGATCAGTATGATAGTCCAGCATAAGGCTTCATGCACACTGGTTTATTGTAAAGGCTGTTTCTTGTGACAAGAGAAAATTAAAAACGCTCCTAAGCCACGTTTTTCAAATGTGTTTAGTCGTGTTTACATGCGTTCAAGTGCATTTGGGCGTTTATTTCATTGGCTAGAATTTTCATTTATTCTGCCATTAAAATTAATAAATGCTCAAGCACAAAATGTGCCTAGAGCTTTGATGCATTTAGGTTCATTTTGCTGTTTTTATGCTCAAAAGCTCCTCTCCTGAATTCGATTCTTCTGCATTCAGGAACAGGAGCTTAGACTGCCTAAGTAAACGCTGCTGCTCCTAAAGGGATCTTTCACATGGGACGGACCTGTTTAGCGGATCCGCTTGCTCAGCAGGGAATCTCTCTGCTGATCCCCCCTGAGCAAGTGGATGACAGCTCTGTGTCTGCTCCACTGCTGCAGAGCAGACACAGAGCTGCTCGCTCTCCTCAATGGGCAGTTGGATGAAAACAGACCGCCTGTCCATTTTCATCCGATCCAATCCAACAGACAGAAGGGGAATTGGATCCCCACCCATCCCTTTTTGGTGGATTGGATGCCAGCGAGTGTAAACGGACACATGTCCATTTACACCCGCCGCTCCATAGAGGAGAATGGAGGTTCCGATCGGGTCCACCTGAAAAATAGGCAGGCTGACCCAATTTAAACGTTTGTGTGAAAGAGCCCAAGCTCTTGTAAATGGAACGCATGGACACATAGGCTTTTATTGATGTGCGTTCAGGGGCACAAAAGCCCCAAAGACATCAGTGTGCATGAGGCCTCATACAAATATACAAAACTACATCAAATAAAGCTGCATACAAAATATAGTCCAAAAAGAGGATGACATTCTTTTGCTCTATGAGTATTTTCATTGTGTATTCCTAATACCAGTAATATCACGTGGTCTTACCTTCAGCTACTATGGAATCCTCATTAATAAAGTCTCAGGTGAATGATACTTTCTGCAACATGTAACTTCTATTGCAAGATGTTGAAAATAGTATATGACATTGGCTGGAAAACTAGATCAAGACTTCTCATTTTGCAGTTTTTTAATTAAAATGTTTCCAAAATTCAAAAATATATCAGACTTGCATGTAACTAGTACACAAAGCAGTATGTGATTGAAAATATCCTAACTCACCATCCAGATCGAATGATGTTCTCCAAAAATATGTATTGATTTGCCAGTTTTTCTAATTGCAAGAATATGTTGGTGATTATATACATTTGTTTTTGTCCTGTAGTTGCTCCAACCCCAAAACTAACCCCATTGGAGAAGCTTGTCCAGTTTGACCTAAATTGGAATTTTGGACCTTGTACAGGTGAGAGATCATTTCTTGTTAGCAGCTAGGCCTCACTGGCATTTTTGGCAGGTTAACCCATCTAGATCAGTGTTTCTCAACCTTTTTTCGGTCAAGGCACCCTTTAAAATTATGGACAGTGTTCAAGCACCACATTCTAAAATGTGAAAAACTATTCTAATAGTTTTATATAACGCAGCAACATCCACACACATAGGACACCCAACATTAGAGTTTATTTATTCTTCCAAAGCAAATACACTTTTGCACACTGGTACTGACTAGTATTCCAGTGTTTCTTCTCTCCCTCAGTTTTTCTCCATCACTGAGCTAATGTGACACCAACACTGATGGAGAGGGGCAGGGGAGGGTCAAACTAGGATGCTGTGCAGGCAGCTGACATCCTCCTTATCAACTGGTAACGTCACTGGCTGTCAGGACACCAGCAGCTAGAAGATCATAATGGTTCACAATGAAAGCCTGTGACTTTGTGTAACTAAAAGGCAGGCTTATTCCACCCGCTGGCTTGCATAAAAGTTTTGGGCAATTTTTAGACATTTTGCCAAGGCACCCCTGAAGAAACCTCAAGGCACCCCAGGGTGTCTGGGCACCCTGGCTGAGAAAGGCTGATCTAGAGCATACAGAAAGGGGTGGGGAATAGCAATTAGGAGCACAGAAAAGGCGCAGAGAAATGTAAATACACAGTTAGGCATAAATCTTAACAGTTTCCTTGAATTTTGCTTTAACACTGAATGCCAGAGAAAGTAAAAATCCTCTCCTGCAGTTGGGCTGCCTCCACATTGCAAGGGTTAAATGCTTATTTAGGTCTAGGGAAACAAGCAAAACACTTTTATTTACCCTATCCTCCGCTCCTGCAGGCTCCAGTTCTTGCTGCCTCTTCTCCTCTTGCCCCAGCAGCCTAATGTCCTCTGACATCATCAAGACCAATGCAGTGTCCATAGCCTTGGATATGAGGACGGCAAGAGACAGTCCACTGCTGGAACATACAGGTGAAACTCGAAAAATTAGAATATCGTGCAAACGTTCATTTATTTCAGTAATGCAACTTAAAAGGTGAAACTATTATATGAGATAGACTCACTACATGCAAAGCAATGTAGTTCAAGCCTTGATTTGTCATAATTGTGATGATTATGGCTTACAGCTCATGAAAACCCCAAATCCACAATCTCAGAAAATGAGAATATTGTAAAAAGGTGCAATATTCTAGGCTCAAAGTGTCCCCCTCTAATCAGTTAATTAAGCCATAACACCTGCAAAGGGTTCCTGAGCCTTTATATGGTCTCTCAGTCTGGTTCAGTAGGAATCACAATCATGGGAAAGACTGCTGACCTGACAGTTGTGCAGAAAACCATCACTGACACCCTCCATAAGGAGGGAAAGCCTCAAAAGGCAATTGCAAAAGAAGTTGGATGTTCCCAAAGTGCTGTATCAAAGCACATTAATAGAAAGTTATGTGGAAGGGAAAAGTGTGGAAGAAAAAGGTGCACAAGCAGCAGGGATGACCGCAGCCTGGAGAGAATTGTCAGGAAAAGGCCATTCAAAAGTGTTGGGGACTTTCACAAAGAGTGGACTGAGGCTGGAGTCAGTGCATCAAGAGCCACCATACACAGACGGATCCTGGACATGGGCTTCAAATGTCGTATTCCTCTTGTCAAGCCGCTCCTGAACAACAAACAACGTCAGAAGCGTCTTACCTGGGCTAAAGAAACAGACCTGGTCTGTTGCTCAGTGGTCCAAAGTCCTCTTTTCTGATGAGAGCAACTTTTGCATCTCATTTGGTAACCAAGGACCCAGAGTATGGAGGAAGAATGGAGAGGCACACACTGCAAGATGCTTGAAGTGTGAAGTTTCCACAGTCTGTGTTGATTTGGGGAGTCATGTCATCTGCTGGTGTTGGTCCACTGTGCCTCATTAAGTCCAGAGTCAACGCAGCCGTCTACCAGGAGATTTTGGAGCACTTCATGCTTCCTTCCGCAGACGAGCTTTATGGGGATGCTGACTTTATTTTCCAGCAGGACTTGGCACCTGCCCACACTGCCAAAAGCACCAAAACCTGGTTCAATGACCGTGAGATTACTGTTCTTGATTGGCCAGCAAACTCGCCTGACCTGAACTCCATAGAGAATCTATGGGGCATTGCCAAGAGAAAGATGAGAGACATGAGACCGAACAATGCAGAAGAGCTGAAGGCCGCTATTGAAGCATCTTGGTCTTCCATAACACCTCAGCAGTGCCACAGGTTGATAGCTTCCATGCCATGCCGCATTGAGGCAGTAATTGCTGCAAAAGGGGCCCAAACCAAGTACTGAGTACATATACATGCTTATACTTTTCAGAGGTCCGATATTGTTCTATGTACAATCCTTGTTTTATTGATTGCATGTAATATTCTAATTTTCTGAGATTGTGGATTTGGGGTTTTCATGAGCTGTAAGCCATAATCATCACAATTATGACAAATCACGGCTTGAACTATCTTGCTTTGCATGTAATGAGTCTATCTCATATATTAGTTTCACCTTTTAAGTTGCATTACTGAAATAAATGAACTTTTGCACGATATTCAAATTTTTCGAATTTCACCTGTAAGGGAGCATCGGCTGCTGTGGGACTGGAGAATTGGGTAAATAAACTGTTTTTCCCATCCCCTAGACTTAAAGAAGTATTTAACCTTGCAGTGCTGGTGTCCCCTGAAGTTTTAAATTGTTAGAATTGCATAAAGGTGTAGAGCAGTGTGCAGAAATTAATTGATAATATTAAATTTCAACGTTAGGTACATCCTGGTATATATATATATAATGGATTTGAGCATAGGCTTTTTTTTAGTTCTGTTGCATAGTGCAAATCATTGACCTGATTTGGTAGCTCTCCTCTAAATAGGGTTGATTTACTAAAGGTGAAGAGCATGTTCACTTTTAAAGGAAATTTTCACTTTCAAACTGCGTTTTCACTTATCTTAGTGAATTAACCTCTTCCCTTCCAGCCCATGTTAATAAACGGCCAGACAGGAGCGCTACCGATACGGGGGGATGTTTCTAAACGTCCCCCCGCATCCATTGCCTGTGCGTGCTCCCTGGGGAGCGCGCGGAACTGCGATCAGTGCCCGCTGTATCCAGAGGACACAGCGAAACACAGATTGCTGTATGGGACCTCTGTGTGAAGTCCCAATTCGTTTGATCACTGATTGGCTAATTAGTCATCACATGAATAGTAGTAAACAAGATGTCACTTCCTGACATCATTGCTTACTACTTGTGAAATCTGTGAATGATCACAGAGGTCACATGGTACAAGGCTATTCACAACAGCCTTGTACCATGTGACAAGTTGTGTGACCAATCACAGCTCGCACAGTATTTATCAATGGCTGCAGGAATGCAGACAGAGAGAAGGAGAAATGATTGCTTTTACAACCTTTATGGGTGTAAACACAATCAGTGTAAGAGAAAAAAAAAAATCTTCATAACCCCCCACAAGTAGTACAGTGTCGCTATGGTGACACTGTACTGCTAGGGTGATAGTATGTTAAAAAAAAAACATAAATAATAATAAGAAAAATTAAAATAAAAATGTAAAAACTATTTTAAAAATTATAATTTTTGGTTATAAACTAATTTGGGTTATTTTTTTTTTTTTTTTACTAAAAAGATAGATGAATACATTTTGGCCAAGATTTATGAAGAAAGATTGTTTATTTGCAAAATTTTATAAGAAAAACACTTTTTTTTTCAAAATTTTTGGACTTTATATAGCAAAAAATTAAAAATCCCAGTGGTGAATAAATACCACCAGAATAAAGTTTTTTCTGTCTCAAAAAAATGCTAAAAAATTCATATGGGTACAGTGTTGCATGACCGTGCAATTGTCATTCAAAGTGTGATAGCACTGAAAGCTGAAAATTGGCCTGGACTGGAAGGGGGTGAAAGTATCCGGACTTCAAGTGGTTAAGTGAAACAAAGTGAAAATTCCATTTGCAAAGAATTCCCAGGCATATGCAAGAAGAATGAAAAAAATTAAAAGTTTTTAGCTTTGCACATGTTGCATAAATGAAGCACAACTTCACCTAATTTCACTAAAGTGAAAATTGACTTTGCGAAGGGAACATGCTCTGCTCCTTTAGTGTACCAACCACTATATCTCTTCTGCAATAAAAATGTCTTACCTTCCTTCTTGCAAGTTTCTGGTACATTGAAACACCATTTAAAATGTTTATAATTTAAAGCCCAACTCCAGAGAAATTAAAAATAAATCACTTTTACAGTGCCCTACCCCCACCAACAAAAGGGTTAAAAGCTTCTTATGCCTAAGGGTTACCATTCAAGCAGCTTTAATACCTTATACCCCAGATCCAGCTGGCTTCAGTGTTTTCCTCTTCTGCCTGAAGTGCCACTCTGTGACAATATCCTTGGTGTCATCATGTACACTGCAGGGACATTAACCCCATATTTTATGCTAAGGAGGCTGGAGTGCGACTGGAGCTGGTTGCAGCACTGGAAGGAGCTTGCTGGATTGAGGAGTAGGGTAAGTAGACAGCCATAGATGGATTGAATGATGGTTCAGCAGGGACTAGCTGAGATTCAATTAATCTATGGGCAAGCTGATTGTACCAAAGTTGATCCATCGATAGACTGGAGTACAACCAACCTGTCAGATTGTTAGCATGCGATTACTGCCTGCAGCTATAGCTGCAAACAAGTAATCATTGTGTTCTCCAGGCAGGGACAGCTCCTTGCCAGGAGAACACAATAGGGTTTATTTACTAAAGCTGGAGAGTCCAAAATCAGACTCCCTTCTGCATAGAAACCAGTCAGCTTCCAGGTTTCATTGCCAAAGCTTCATTGAACAAGCTGAGGTTAGAAGCTGATGGTTTCTATGCAGAAGGGAGTCTGATTTTGGACTCTCCAGCTTTAGTAAATAAACCCCAATATCTCCACAAGAGGGATTCCCCCTCCAACACTGACTGTGATGGGGGGAATTGAGCAATTTTCTTTCCTGCAACCCGTAGAAAGATAGATGCATAACCTATGGCTTGCCCTAATCCTCAGCTCTAGACCAGTGATCTCCAAACTGTGGCCTACAGGCTGGATGTTGTCCTTTGCTTAACTTTATCTTTGGACACTACTATACCCACTGTTTCAAGGCACTATTCCTCCCACTGACATCAATGATGTGGCACCATTCCCTCCACTGACACCAATGATAAGGCACTATTCCTCCCACTGACACCAACATGGGGGCCCTTTGTTTGGAAAGTCTGGGGATCCCTTGAAATGCCTGCAGGATGGATGTTGTCCTTTGCTTAACTTTATCTTGGGACACTACCATTCCCACTGTTTCAAGGCACTATTCCTCCCACTGACATCAATGATGAGGCACTATTCCTCCTACTGACACCAACATAGGGACCCTTTGTTTGGAAAGTCTGAGGATCCTTTGAAATGGGGGGGGGGGAGGGGGCACTGCAAGGGTGGATTTTTAATTTTCCCAGTGTGGGGCTTTAAAGATAATTATTTTGTTATAGTTTTCCTTTAAGCCACCTATATAAATAAGGCCCAATGTCATTTGTATCACATAAGTAATTTATGTATTTCTGAACCATCTAATCACCTTTAGGTATCTCAAGGATGGAGCGCTGGCAGAGAGCACAGGATTTGGGACTAATGCCACCACAGGACATAAAGCAGATCCTCCTGGCGCACAGTGCAGATCCTCAGTATCAGCAGAAGTAAGTTTTTGGCAGATGAACATGAGTTCATTTACTGTATGTCCAATATACTGCAGATATCTTGAGAGTTTCTGAGGAAGAGCATTGTGTGGAAAACCAAGATAAGAGGGTAGGCACATACAGGCACCATCGGTGCTGGATATCCAGATGAATCTAGCCTGTCACTTTGTACAGGATCTCTCTGTTGTTTGTGTCCAACACTACTTTAAAAAATGTTGAATACTCTCAATACACTGTATGGATGGCAAATGATATCTTATTATCTGTTTTAGCCTTTGGAACACTATGCCATCTAAAGAGAACAGAACAGAAGTGATGACCAAGACTGAATGGAAGCTGAGAAGGACGAGATGGCTCAGATTGGGCCACACAGGAAAAAGTGCCTTGCTTAACATTATTCTCTGTTTAAGGAGATTACATTTAAATCCACGTATAGGGACTATATTTGAATTGTTTTGTTGGTTACTTTGTAGTAAAGCTGATAAATCTTATTCAGTAAGTCAAGAGCAATGCTAATTACAAATACCCATAGCAGCCAATAGGAACTCAATCCTTTATTGCTGGCCTTCAAAAATTAGGCCACAAGCACAATAACCGGTAAGCCATGTTTGGCTGCAGTCTGGTTCTATGGGTTGATAAGCTTTCCACATTGTCATGGCCTTTTATTAAACCTAATAAAGTGTGCCTGTACTTTGATCTTCCAGTTATGTTAGTTCTTCAGTAATGCTTAAGGGTTAAGTTTAAAGTCTGCTTGATTCCCACTTAAAGAGGTCTTGTTGCTAGTCTTCCAAAATTAAGCCACAGGCACCATGTAAAAGAATATCATTGATACTCAACTTTCCAGCAGGAGGTGATGCCAACCTTTGCTCTGTTCAAAAGCTACAGCTACCACTGGTAATGGACACATCTGGAAACATAAGATTTATGGTCCCCAGATATAGTCCCTTGTGGCTCCTCCTGCCAACCACTATGTCACTATAGTGTCCTGTATTGATATAGAAGCTGGTGGCAGGATAGATTGCTAGCAGCAACCCTAGCTCTTGAACAAAGATTGATTTTACAGCTCATTTGACATGTAAGTATAACTAATGTTTTTTTAACACGGTGCTTATGGCTAAATGTATGAAGACTACAGGCAGGGTCTCTTTAAGCTCCATCCCATCATGTTTGTATGTTGCCATGACAGTGCTAAGGGGGTTGGCAAGAGGGAGAATTATGTGTGGCGGGCACTCAGAAAAAGTGGCCCCCTGAAGGATTAAGTCATAATGTACTAATATGCACTATATACTAGTACATTATGACAGGCTTTCCTACAAACGGAGACCTTCAGCGATGTCCATCCTAACCCGTTCTTCCTACCAGGTTTCATATCTTCGGCCACTTGATTGGCCGAGCTCAGGTAACTTTACATCGCTGCTACATACAGAGTGGGCCGTAAAATGTGGTCTGAGCTGCGCATGTGTGGCTCAGATCACATTACCCACTGACAGGCAGGGGGGGGGACATTTAAGACAGAAGAGACCTGTAGGGTGCTTCGGTTATAAAAAGTCTGCCTTGTCAGCAAATTTTTAAATTATTGACTTTACTACCTATTTAGGTAGACATATATTCACTATTGCCATGCTACCCCACCACTCCATTTTGCTGTTGGAGTAGAAAGACCTAGCCCTGTATAGGCTCGTGTCAAATGATGTTGGAGTTTATGGAAGGTTAATGACTTCTTCCCTTTCCTCATGTGATAATATCAGGACTGGAGAATAGCCTCTCAAGCCTGTGCACTACATGATGGGAGCTGGTCACCTACCCCCCTAAGGCAGCCATACATGGCTCAAAACCACTCTGACAACATGGATGCAGGAGTCTCCGTTGCTGGCTATTATATTTGGGCACTTGTGACTGCCTGCATACAATGGCATTGCTGAACAGTTATTGCATCTAATAGGTTTCAGTCATTTTCTTGATGATCGTTTTCCCCCTGGCTCAGCTGATTTTTTGGTGCTTCAGGGTCACCCATGGTTTAAATTTTGGTTAGTTCAGCAGGACTTCAGAAAGCTGAAATTCAACCTATTTATGGCCAGAATTATATTCAGAAGCACTGATAGAGGAATGGAGTTATGGAATAGCAGAGTGAAGATAAGAGTGTCAGCGAGTGAACCTGTTATTTTGCTTTAAATGATGAAAATGACAGAGTCTCTTTATAGTACTGGAGGCTTGGCCATCACATTTCCAACAAGGACAGTGCCATCTTTGTGACCCCATCATTTTTCTAGCATATTGGGGTTAATTTGCTAAAATTGGAGAGTGCAAAATCTGGTGAAATCTGCATAGAAACCAATCAGCTTCCAGGTTTATTGAACAAGCTGACATTAGAAGCTGGCTGCATGGCATGCTGCACCAGATTTTGCACTCTCCAGTTTTAGCAAATCCACCCCATTGCCTTCTACAAAAAGATAGATGCCCTAAATGACTATATAGTATATGCTTTTATGTTTTAAGATTGAAAGAAAATGTATCTATTTAGTTTGATTTTCCATGTATATAAAAAAGTTGTGTTATAAAAATGTTCTTAAAATAAATATTTTTGGTGTTCATTTTAACTACATGTGTATGTTTTGCTTTGTTTGTGTAGGGTTGAGGGAGTATATTTTCTTATTCAGCGCTTCAAAGAAAGCCTTTCAGGATAAAAAAAAAATAACCACTTGCCCTCTGGAAGGTTTTACCCCCTTCCTGACCAGGGCATTTTTTACTATTCGGCACTATGCTACTTTAACTGACAATTGCGACACTGCACCCAAATGAAATTTATATCATTTTTTTCACACAAATGTGCTATAAATTAAAAAAGACTGACATCTAGAAAAAAAACAATATTTTTTTACTTTCTGAGATAAAACATTTCTAATACAAAAAATGTTTAAAAATCTAAATTCTTTATAAGCTTAAGCCAAAATGTATTCTGCTACATATTTTTTGGTAAAAAAAATCCCAATAAGTGTATATTAATTGGTTTGCGTGAAAGTTATAGCATCTACATGAGATGTATACTGGATTTTTTATTTATTTATTTATTTTATACTAGTAATGGCGGTTATAGTGGGACTGTGATAGTGTGGTGGGCAATCTGACACTAACTCTTTGTGAATTGACTAACTGGCACTGACATCTCCAGTGACACTAATACAGTGATCAGTGCTAATAATATACACTGACACTATACTAATAACACTGGCTAGGAAGGGGTTAACATCTAGGGCCAATCAAAGGGTTAACTGTGTGTCTAACAATGCTTGGTGGGTTTACTGTGTGCTGATTTACTAAGGAATTTGCCGGTTTTATTCCCTGCATTCCAGGGGGAAAAGAAAAAAAGAACGACACATCTCTGCTGTCTGGACCAAGCTCTGTGTTGTTTACAATCACAGAGCTCTGTCTTGTCTTCCGCTTTGCTGATCACTGGTTCCCAGCCATCAATTATTGCCTGGGACCCGCTGCTTGGCTTGTGCTGTAACTAATCACAGCACAACTGGGGCAGTGGGCAACTGCCACTGACTTGTTTTTAAAGCTGAACTCCAGGAATTATTGTTTTTAAACTTACATTGGATCATTCTGGTTACATCTACTTCTTCATATCTCACATCTACAGGGCTGCTGGGGATGCAGAAACTCACTAGTAGCCTGTGCAGCATACTCTTGGCTCTGGTCTCTTCTGAGTGCTGCTTGAGTGACTTCCCATCTGTTTATCAAACACAGTGGGTTGTTTACTTGACCCCTCTGCCATTCAGAGAACATTTTGTATTTTTAGTGAATACAAAGTGGGCTAGTGTAAATCTAACCTTAAAGAGAACTGAACGTATCCATACAGTGTGTTTGTCTAGTAAAGCATTTTTTATTAGCTGGCTCTGCCATTGCTCAGCCCACCGCACCCCGTCTTCTTCAGACCAGCTGATCACTTTTCGTGTTAAAGTGTTACTAAACCCAGGACCCTGCATTCACTATATCTGGTTCTCCCACAGTACACACAATATGGAAATGCAATTGTTTTAGTAATTATTAACTGCTAAATACCTTTTCTCATCAGCAGTTAGAGCAGTCTTGCGACTTCTTTCAGTGTCCAGAAGAGCACTAGCTAAAGCTTGTAGGAAGAGTTTTCTTTCTGCTCTAGGAGGATGCAGAACCCCTGACCTCTGCCTGGACAGTGCTGATTGGCCCTGTGCTGATCACATGCACTCTCCTAAGAAAAAAAAAAACCTCTCTAGCAATACACACCAAACTGAGCATGTGCATGTGGCTACGGATTCAGTCTGTCTTATCAGGACATAAGACGTGGACATTTGAACCAGAGTAGACAGGATCAAACGGCCTTTTTACACAATGCAGAGGATTAACCCCTTAGGTTCTACAGTGAGAATAACAAGCGTGCTTTACTGCATATACAGACTAATTTACTGTTGTGGGTTTAGTAACACTTTAAAGTAGGTGTAAACCTTAATAGGATGACATTGTGTTTGCAAAAGCATTTCATTCTCAGGGTGGGGTTCCTGATGGTGACATTGGTAGAACATGCCTATGCTGTGAGCATACATACCCTTATAGTCTCCATTGTAAGCCTGAGTAATAGAGGGACAATGCTGGAGAAAAACTGGGAGACGGGAATGGAGTGTTGTCACCAAGTAACAGGAAGTGCCTGAACAAGGACCTTCATGACAGGATTACAGGTATTATTTTGATGAAAGCTCCAGTTACAGTTTACCCTCTTAACCTGCTGGTGCCGACGTAAATAGAAATATGTGACATCACGAAGGTAGGCCTTATTATGATGAAAGTAAATAAAAAAACTCTGCAACCTCCAATGTGTAAAAATTTCACAAAATTCAATTTGTGTAAAAATTTCACAAAATTAAATTAGTGCAAACATTTCTCCCTATTAACTAAATGTGCTGCAAAACACTAAACTGTGTTCCCACATCAAACCATGAATAATTGTATTATAAGGTGCTGCGT